ATTAATTAATTAATAAATTTTTTTAGGATAGGTCAGAAATGGGAAAGTTGGATGTTTGTTTTCTATTTCAAGTTTGTAAAATTAATTTGGTTTGGTAAACTAGTTTAAAATGGCAAATAGGTCATTGTTTAAAACTATTATTAATGTTTGTTCATAGGCACTAGCTTTCCAAGTTGAGGACTGTGGTAAAGATTTGGATGGTGTAGAGACACTACAGCGCAAGCAGGATGCGGACGAGAGAGGAATGACTGCCATCTATAGCCGCATACAGGTACTAATATTTTATCTTCTTTTTTTTTACGTTTTGGTGTAACGTTACAAAGCGATAAGTGTACTTTACTACAATATCGGATGTTCTTTTGTTGTGTTTCATGTGACTGTTGTATTTGTGTGTAGGAACTGAATGAGGGTAGCAAGAAACTGCAAAAGAAACATCCTAATAACGTTTCCACGATCCTTGACAAGCAGACTGAGGTTGCAAACGACTGGCATCGTCTCATTGACCTGTCAAAGGCTAGGTAAGTGCCACACGAGCGATTTCTCGCTTCTGCATTGGTTAACTGGTGAAAGCATGTTTAGTTTTTGATGCGAAGACAATGTGATTGAAACTTGGTGATATTTAGTTCTAATACTAAAGTTTTCCATTGCCAGAAAGTGTGATTTCTCGCTTCTGCATTGGTTAACTGGTAAAAGCATGTTTAGTTTCTGATGCGAAGACAATGTGATTGAAACGTGGTGGTATTTATGTTTCAAGTGTAACACTCGCATTTTCCATTGGCAGAAAGGACAAGTTGGCAGCATCTTACAGTCTACAGAAGTTCAATTCTGACCTCAAGGAACTGGAGACGTGGGTAAACAGCATGCTAGCACGCATGACCTCTGGCGATATGCCCAAGGACATTTCCGAGGCAGAATCCGTGATGGAGCTTCACCAGGAGCGCAAAGTAACCATTGACCTCGTTATTGATCAAATTTCTAGTCGCGTTAAAAGATTTTCGAATTAAGTGATCCGTTTCGATGGCTTCGCAAATACCTCAATAGATGGGAGTTTAAGTGGAGCCACAGTTATGCCAATATATATGCTAACATGTTAAAAACGTACTTACACACCAAGAATTCACTCGTCCACATCCACTAACGTCGATCTACGGGTGCTTCTAGTAGACGCGTGGTTACCGAGTCCGAAATTTTTGCTAATATGCTAAAAACGTAGCAAGAATTCCCTGATCCACATCGACTAGCATCCATATACAGAAACGTCTAGCAGACGCGTGGGTACCGTATGCTGTTACCTAGTCACGCACATCTAGCGCGAGAGCAGAATATGTCGACGAATATATGCATCGTCCTGTGTGTTGCTTGTTGTTTGTCGCGTGTCGTCGTTACTTAGCGGCGCGCACGGCACAAGGGCAAACACATGAGCATCGTTGACGTCGTTCTGTGTCGTCTGCTGCAGGCGACTTGTGCAAGATGGGAGTTTAAGTTGAGCCACAGTTATGCTAATATATATGCTAATATGCATAGCTACACACCAAGAATTCACTTATCCACATCCACTAGCGTTGATCTACGGATGCTTCTAGCGACGCACAGTAATGCCGTACCCGCGCTTGCTCAGTTACCGTGCGTCGCTACATGCATCCATAGATCGACGTTAGTAGATGTGGATGACTGAGTTCCTGGTGTGTAGGTACGTTTTTAGCATAACTGTGGTTCCACTTTAACTCTGAAGCACGCACGGGTACGGCAGGGTAAAAAATACATGGGAGCGATTCGCGATTCGCTCTTTAAACCTCCGAAATAGCTCCCATGAGGCTCAAAATAGCTCCCGTAAAAATTTTGACAAGCGCTATTTTTCCCACAGACTCGAAAAGAGCTCCCGTGAAAAAAAAGTTATTTTTTCCCTGGGGTACGGCGTTGCCTAGCGGCAACCGCGTCGAGAGAGCGGAATATTTTGGCAAAATTATGCATTGTTGACGTCGTTCTGTGTCGTCTGCCGCAGGCGGAGATCGACGGCCGCGAGGAGGGCTTTGATCGTCTGCGTAACTACGGCCGCAACCTGATCAACGAGCGTCACTACGCGAGTGAGGATGTGCACGCGAGCCTCACCTTCCTAGACGAGCTGCAGCAGCAGCTGAAGGACACGTGGCAGGAGCGCAACCGCCTGCTGCAGCAGTCCTACGACCTACAGGTGCGTGCGTGGGGGGATGGGAAGTGTGTGGGTGGGGGGATGTGTCTGTGTGGGTGGAGGGGGAGTGTGTGTGATCCCTCTATCCATGCATCCATCCATTCATGCATCCATCCATCCATCCATCCATCCATTCATGCATCCATCCATCCATCCATCCATCCATCCATCCATTCATCCATCCATCCATCCATCCATCCATCCATCCATCCCTTCATCATGTAAGAACATAGTAATTGGTATATTGTATATACATTATTAATTGGTACCATAGTAAACTACAGTGTGTAGTGAGTTGATTGGTGAGTATAATGCTGTGATGCTGGTATTGTAGGTGTTTAAGGATTGTGCTGAGCAAGGTGACGCCTGGCTAGCATCCAAGGAGGCATTCCTCAACAATGAAGATCTAGGAGTGAGTTTTTACAAAAGCACGAAAAGGATAGGATTTTTAAGAAAAAAAAACATTCACAATTTCAAATTTATAAATTCACAATAAATTCGAATTTTCATTCATTTTAGGCCTATCCTACACAAACCTAGTGCATTGCATGTACCTGTTGTGTAACAGATAATGATATTATGGAGTAAAATTCTTTCTATATTTTGGATGGAACGATGTGCTTACACGCATATACGGCAGTGTGTGTATGTACGTTGTGTGCGTGCTTGCGTGCGAGCGTGTGCATGCATACATGCGTGCGAGAGTGTGCGTGCTTACCTGCGT